TTTTACCATATCAACCAACTTAAGAAAATTTTCATAAAGTGAGCCAAGAACTTTCGTTATTCAAATAAATTCAAACTTGTACATGTACAAGAAGCGATGATTTGTGAACTGTATTATATAATTAAACCGAGAGAATCCAAAACAGTGACTAAATATATGATGGGTTACATTCGAAAATCAATAAAAATTACATGTAAAATTTTATTTTCTACCAAAAGCTACCTGGGCTACAGCCCAGGAAAGCCCTTAATGTGGCTCCGCTGGTGCCGACTGTATCTCCCTCATCTGACTTCCATTTTGGGTGATCTTGGTGTCCGTGAAAAGCTCGTGACGAGACCAACATCTTGGTGCTGTTAGATTTTTCCATTTTCTCACTTATTTTTCCAAGTCGAAGCCACAAAGTGCCAAGAGTTTCCAGCGAGTTTTCTCATTTTTCGGTGATTACCACAATGATTACCATCAATCACCACCACCAATAGACTCCCCTCAACCCTAGGAACAAAGCCAAGCAGTGGTGGAGGTGTCAGATCGCATATGGAGGTCGAATCAAAGCACACCAATTCCTAAGGTTTCCGACGGTCCAAGGGTGATTTCAGGTGATTCTTGGTTGAATTAGACTTTGGCCCAGGTATGAAAATTACTCCCTTCATTGAGATCTACATGCTTGTAAAATTTGGTAATTGTTGGAAATAGTTGAATTTTCTGATAAGTCAGGGAACCCGACTGGCACGTGGCGGCGACGCATGAGCTGGGACCCTATCTAACCATCCTAGGTTAATTTTGATGCTCTGATACCATATTTGATATCCTTTTAGTGAAATTCTGAGGTTTTAATATAGTTTCGTAGTTGACCACCTAGTTGGCCGCCACATAATCATTATAGGAATTGACGATCCGACCATTGGATCAGAACCAAACTTAAATACGTAATAGTACATAATATTTGAGGACATTAGTAACTTACAGATCGGGAATCTGACATACGGATATTTCCGAATTGGATTTTTAAGTTCGTAAAATCAAACGTTGATTGCCACTTGAATTTACGATTGGCGAAGATCCAACTTATGGATCGTAATAAAATTTTAGTATGTTGTTCTAGAAGATTAATGAGACCCTTGAGAACTTACGGATAGGGAATCCATGGGCGGATGTTTCAAATTGACTTGTATAGGGTTGTGGACCCTACCTTGATAGAGACTTGACTTTTGATCAATATGCTATAAATTGATCTTAAATATTAAAATCAGTATTACTAAAGACTATGTAGGACTTAGAGGGCCTATATTGGTTAGTGAGTTATCCCATATAATATATACATCGGTTTACGTGTATGTGATGTCATATTGTGATATATATGTGTTTATTTATCTTCCTAATAATGTGAATGATAAGTATGATAAATGTTATGACAATGTGATCCTAGAATCTTATTAGAAGTATTCTGTAGAACTTATATGCTTGTGTGACATACTAATTGGTGGCCACGAGAAGTTGATGGTGTAGGTGACTACATTGTAACTCATAGGGGTTAAGGTATGGGTAGGTTGTGTGTTGAATTTACTGCATCCTGTAGCAGTGGTACATGGATGGTCCTGCTTGGTATATCCACGATGGGGGACCATACGTATTTCAGGGGTGATCATGCTTGGTATATCCACGATGGGTGATCACTGCCTGCACGATTAGACTATGCTTATGGTTTTGGTATATCCGCGATGAAGGACCATACGCATTATAGGAGTGATCATGCTTGGTATATCCGTGATGGGGGACTGTTATGGGTGATCATGCTTGGTATATCTGCGATGGATGATCATTGCCTACGTTATTAGACTATGCCTAGGGTCCTGCTTAGTTTATCCGCGATGAGGGACCATACGCATTTTATGAGTAATCATGCTTGGTATATCCGCGATGAATGATCACTACCTAGAGTTATAGGATACAGTCCAGCTTGGTATATCCGCAATGAGGGATTGTTAGAGGTGATCATGCTCGGTATATCCGCGATGAGTGATCACTGCCTATGTTATTAGACTATACATATGGTCCTGCTTGGTTTATTCGCGATGGGGGACCATACACATTCTAGGAGTGATCATTCTTGGTATATCCGCGATGGGTGATCACTACCTAGAGCTATATAATACAGTCATGCTTGGTATATCCGCAATGAGAGACTGTTAAGAGTGATCATGCTTGGTATATCCGTGATGGGTGATCACTGCCTACGTTATTAGATTATGCCTATGGTCCTGCTTGGTTTATCCGTGATGGAAAACTATACGCATTCTAGGAGTGATCATGCTTGGTATATCCGTGATGGGTGATCACTACCTAGAGTTAGGATGTGGTCTTACTTGGTATATCTGCGATGGGGGACCATACGTATTATAGGGGTGATCATGCTTGGTATATTCGCGATGGGTGATTACTGCCTGCACGCTTAGATTATGCCTATGGTTCTGCTTGATATATCCGTAATGGGGGACCATACGCATACCAAAGGTGATGAGGATTAGTGGTACTTGGTACATTTCGGTAAGTGCCATATTTTAGTTGGATTACATTGAGTGGTCCGGAATCCTTGCTCTTGCTCATTTTCATAAGTTAGTTCGAAACCCTAGATTCGAGTGAATGGGGATTAACCACACTTGATCTTGTGAATATAAATGAAATTTACCATGTTATTACTTATAATCCAAGTAGGGAATTATGTAGAGTTCTTTAATTAAATTCATGAAATGATATGTTATTTCATTGATTGATTAACGTAGTCAGACGTTAATATCGTGCATCTTTGATTCATGGAATTGATTAATTGACATGATTGTGGAGTGTCGTTGGATATGATTGTTATTATTATGAATAGAGTAGTAGATCAATATGGTTTGAGAATAATACTGTGCTTCGTTGGTTCTTTGATATTTTACATGCGGTGGATTGAGGTATCATGTTGAAAACATAGTGATTTATATGATGGATGGAATTGAAATCTTGAATGTCATGTGGGTTTGTTATGCAGCTCTGGACCTAGCAATTTCATGTTTGTCAAGTTCTAATAAATGATTGAGGAATGCTATGCTTTTCTGCTTAAATGTACTGTGATAAACATCCGAGTGTAGTGAACGGTGAACTACGAATGACTTGATCCCTTTTTAGGGTGCGTAGGCAGTCTAAAGAGAAGGTTAGATGCAGCCATAAAGCATACAAAAATTACTACGCAATTCGAATCTCGAATTATGCTTTGTACATATCTCAAAGGCAGGGTCTGTTGGATTTACGGATACTTCGTGACATCACGTGTGGATCCTGAATGTATGTCGGGATCGGGGCGTGACAACCTAGGCGGCTAGGCAGGCACCTCAGCAGGTCTAGACGTCATTTCTTAATTTTTAAACGCCTAGGCATTAATCGGGGAGGTGACCAACCGCCTAACGCCTTCTAGGATTTTTAGAAAAGTGATTTCAAAATCTATAAGACATTTAAGTTATGGCTTCAAAATTAGAAAGAGAAATAACATTAGACTAGGGGTGGGTTCGGTTCAAATTGGTTCGGTTTTTTGCCAAAACCGAAACCGAACTGAAATTTTAGTTTGGTTCGGTTCGGTTCAATTTTTTTTCGGTTCGGTTTTTTTTCAGTTTGATTTTTTCCGGTTTGGTTTCGGTTTTTTTTTCAAAAAATGAAATTTTTTTAAATCTTAAATTTTAACATATCCAACACAATCATAACATAAATATTCCGACTAGACTTAAAGATAATGAAAATAAACATTTAAAGTTCAACTAGAATTATAACCTAAAGGTTTTTTTTTAAATATTTTGGGTTTAAAGTTTAACTGTAAATAGATTTCTTTTTAGACGATGATGATGGAGTACGACCTTATTCATTCCTCTCTTTCTCTCAATCTCTCTCTCTCTATATATATATACATGTATTCTTCATTAGCAATAAGATAAACATTCTATAATATACTATTTATTTTGGTTAGTGTCTAGGTAACAATTTTTTATATTTTCTTTATCTTTATGGTCCGAATTTTTTTTATCCATATATGTGGTTACATAATATAATTTCTACATTCTGTGTTCAGCTTCTACCACCAGCAAATTTTGAAGAGGTCTTCATCAATATTTTTTAATATATTGATATACTTTTCAAAATTGTTAGGCCAAGGAAGCTACTATACTTGGCCATAGGTGAGAAAGTTTGAATTTTGTTTTTGATCTCGTAGTGTTTAATAAACTCATGAGACTTTTATACGCTGTTTGCTTTCCCTAATCAACTGCAGTGCAGTTGAGATATGTGTTCTTATATATGTGTTGCACTTAATGATATAAACTAGAAATATTGCATGTAATGGTATAAGTTCTAATTTTTGTTGTAGATGGAGAAGCTAAGAAGACAATTTGAATTGGAAAGCAAACAAGTCTTACCAAAGCAGCAGTCCGAAGTATTATATTCTAATATAATAAAATCAAATAATTAAATAAATAAAATTAAAAAAATATTAATTTAATTATTTCGGTTCGGTTCGGTTTGGTTTGGTTTCTAGACCACCAAAACCGAACCGAACCAAAAGAGTTCGGTTCGGTTTGGTTTTTTCAATTTGGTTCGGTTTTTTCGTTCGGTTCGGTTTTTTCGGTTTCGGTTCGGTTTGGTTTTCGGTTTTTTGAACCCACCCCTACATTAGACCACTAGCTAATTAATCAGCTAATTGAAATGGAGTGCAATGAGTTTATTCACCTATTTATTTATTTATTTATTATTTTATAAAGAAGCATTGACAGTGTTAGAAGAAATTTTATTGAAATGAAAAAGAAATTATACATATACTAAAACTCAACAAAAAAACATTACGGTTCATTAATAATAAAAGGGCGAAAATGCCCTCCAATTCCCTTGTTATCCGCCTTTTTTTTTGTTTTAAACAGTTAAAAGATGACTTTGCCCTTGGTCTCCACTTCTCAGCTTGTGTCATTTTCAATGGCGTAATTCAACACGTCTGTCTATCTGGCTTCCTTTTAGTTGGTGGTTGTGCCGGCCTCCAGCTGGGTCTCTTAGACCCTGTTCTTAATTTTCTAAAGTTACACACAAGGTTTATGGCACAAAAACAGATTAAAAATGGTAAATAATTTCAGTTTCTTCCTTTTAACCGTTGAGTTTACTGCTTTGTTGCATACTTGAGCATTGTGTATCTTTTGATCACCTTATACTGTTTTCTTATATTTCAGGTGGAGACTCTCTCAGAAAGCACCAACAACAACACTGTTTGGCTTGCACAGGTTCGTGAATTTGATGAAATTTAAAATTAAATTGAGGAAAGGAGTCTGAAGAAAGCGAAGGTATGCAGATGCTGCATGTTGAGATACTTCTGTAAAGTTTACAATCACACTACTTTTGTTGAATATCTCTTATGGCAATCATGCTTCCTTAAATATTCCATCAAAATATCAGGGAATTGCATAACACCTTAAATTGGTTTTACCTATGTACTACTGCCTTATTCAAGCTTTTTGTTCAGTTTTTGTAGACTGCTATTGGTTTTTCTGGTTGGTTCGAAATACTTTTGAGCTTGAGAGACAACCCAGAATTCAAATCAGAAAAAAAAAACCCCCCGCGAATTGGATCCCGATTCGAAGAAAATTTTAAGCCCAAAAAAAAGATGTGCTCCCTGGTGAGTTCTCTGGCCGATTTGGTTATCTGTAAATTTTGTGAGAAATGTAGGATTTTGTTCATTTTTATATGCGGTTCCAAGTGCTTGAGATGTGCATTTCAGAGTTGTTTGCCTTTTTTTTTCGTTGGTTCTAATTCCACTTCGCAGGCTCTGAACGCTTAGGCAAATATACGTATAAATTATTTGAGAAAGCAATTGGAAATTTGCTGGTTTGTAGCCTAATAACATGAATGTTTAGTAATAACAGATATGCCACATGGCATCTTATTCTAGTAGTTAAGTTTGTTAATATAGTTAGAATGGTATTATTGTAATTGGGTTATATAGCTATATAAGAGATTGTGTAGCTATCATTTCCTTAAGTTCAATTGAATACATTTTCTCTAATCAATCAATACAATCTCTCTTGTTTTCTCTCTACCAATTCTTTCTCTTCCTTTGTACCAATTTCATCTTTTGCAATGTATTTAATATGGTATCAGAGCCACCAAGCTCACGCCATTGATTCTGGTGGTTCCATTTTTTTTTTCTTTTTTTTTTCATCTGTTTCTAGCTTAGTTTCTTTCCAATTTTCTATTAGTTTCTGTTTAGAAGGAGATTTCACAACCGAGAGAGATTTCACCCCAACTCTGTAAGAGCTTCTCCTATTCAATGTTTTTTGTGGGATTCTTGGGATCAACGACGGAGGAAGACTTGAAGGTGTTGTCAAGGTGGAGCCCGGACAACCGATTCCTCACCTTCAAGAACGGAAGAGCTCTGCCGCCTTCCATCTTCTGGCTGTTGCTAACTCGCAGGATCTCAAACACCTCTGAATTTGTGGAGCATCTTGGCAAGACTGACCTTCATCGAATATGGGTTCTGCTTGTTTTTTTTGGCGTAGGTGATTGCGCTGCAGTTGTAGATTGTGACTGCGCCGTCCTCTGCCGCAAAACTAAATGCCTGAACGAAACTTGTTTATACCATATTTAGGGCCTCGTATTTAGACCTTGTATAATACTTGAGGGATTTAAATGTAATTATGTAATAAAGGAAGGGGCAAATATGTAATCAGTGAGGAGTCCTTATTCTATAAAAGGACCCATCACCCTCACAATTAGAGGAGGTCATTTCTTAGGCCATGGGAAGAGTTCTCTCACCCTCAGAAGCTCTCTCCCTCACTCTCCTCACTTCTCAGAGAAATACAATATCAGTGTGGACGTAGCCCAAAAAATGGGGTGAACCACGATACATCTTGTGTTATTTACCTTTCATGCAGATTCACGGTCGAATTTACGTTGTTCCAAGACTTCCGGTTTTGTGCATCAACATTTGGCGCCGTCTATGGGAAGCGATACGAAAAGTTGTATCGGTTCTCTTTCATTTTTTCACCTCCACCGTGAATCTGCAAAATCATAAAAAACCCAAGAAACCAATCTCATCTCTCTCTCCTCTGTCTCTCTACATATCACTTTCTCAATACTTTCTTTTCAGAACTTTCATTAGAGATTGAGAAAGATGGCCATATGACGTAGCAGAGAGAGAGAGCAGCGTAGAAATCCTAATGCACCCATACAACCGGCTACCGAGTAACGGACACAAGCAACAACAGATGCCCTCTCAATGCTCCTCCACCGTCTCCCTCCTACTCTCTCTCGTCCCTTCCCACACACCACTCACCTCCTAAGACGTGTCCATAATCAATCTCTTTCTCCGACGTCCAAGCCAACCCGACCCTCCTCTCCTGCGCTTCCTAACTCGGGTTCTTCCAGCTCACCAACCACCCTATCCCATCCCAACTCGTCAACTCGGCTGAGTCGGAAGCGCTCTCTCTATTTTACCTTCCTACACCTCAAAAACAAACATTCATACCCAAGAGCTGGCCTTTAGGGTTTGAAGACGACAACGAGGATGACGGAGACGGACTCGGTGAGTTGTTTTGTTTGTACTCGTCGTGTTCCACCGAGTCGACCGAGTTGTCCTTAACTTCTTTGCACGAGTTCACTCGTGCTTTGGAAAAAGTGGGGTTGGAGGTCATCGAGCTGCTTTGTAGCTCATTAGGGTTTCAGAACCCACTAGGGAAAGATGACCCGACCAGGTTTTCTACCATAATGTGGATCTCCGTTTGGCACCGGCCCGTCGTCTGCTGAGATTTAAGCAACCAAATGATCGAGAAGAAGCAGCGTCGCGGCTGTGATTCAAAGGTGGACATTTTACGGTGGAAGCACGTTCAGAGTAGCGTGAGTTCTTTGGGTTTACTGGAAGGAGAGAAGAAGAAAGCAAGTCCAAGAGCAAGTGATGACGAGGAAAACGGGTTAACTCGGAAGAAGGTCAGGCTGGGGTTGGCAAAGGGTTAGCGCTGCCAAGCGTAAGAACTCTGACCTGCTGAGTCTGCAGAACTTTAGAGAATATGAGTTTGTGAGCATGATGATAAAAGGTGACATGGACGGTGAAGAGGTAAAGAAATGGAATGGGAGAAACAAAGCAGAAAAAGAAAATAGCAAAGCAAAAAGTAGAAAAGAAAAGGAAAATGAGGAAAGTGTTTGAAGAAGTTTGTGGAGATGGCATGCGCCAATTGCACACCAGTGAAGCAATCCAGTTATCGTGTCACTAAGAAAAGCTACGGTGGTGAACATATGCTCTTATTGCATCTGCAGGTTTGGCAGCCTGGACAGATGCTCTTACTGCAGCTGCAGGTTTGCCAGCCCGGATTTTCAGAACGACCAATGGGTCTGTCTTTTGACAATATGGAGGGAGAAGGTGGGGAGGGAGCGCTATCGACCACCCACATGCGAAAGTAAGAAAAAGAAAAAGGGAGATCTTACTAAAGCCAAAGAAGATGCCCACACTTTCATCATGCATGTTCCTATTTTCTGAGAAAGCTACGGGAAGACCTAGGAGGAAGATAAGGGTTCCTTACTTTAAAGTGATGTAATTTATTTTTCTTATCTTTCGGAGACATTTGTATAAAACCCATCAGAGGGTAATATCTATAAACCCCATCAGAGGGTAATAAAAAAAACGACAAAGCCCAAAATAAATGGGCTGGAATGTTTTGTGGAGAGTGAAGGCCCATAAGCCTAAAATAGTACCAACCAGGTCATCAAAAGTACGCCCAGTACTCCAAAATTATTCCGCAACCTACCGTTATTACCACCAACTAGGTGATGAAGTGTACAACCCGTACTCTTTGGTAACTAGCCATTCATGCCACCAACCAGGTGATGAAATGTACAACCCGTACTCTAATATCATTTGGCAACTAGCCATTCATGTCACCAACCAGGTGATGAAATGTACAACCTGTACTCTCCTTCATGCCACCAACCAGGTGATCAAAAATACGCCCAGTACTCCAAATTATACATGAGCATTACTCATGTCATTCATACATAAACATTCATGAGCATCACTCATGACAATCATACATAAACATTCATGAGCATCACTCATGCCAACATTCATGAGCATCACTCATGACAACATCCATGAACATCACTCATGTCAATCAACATAAACATTCATGAGCATCACTTATGTCAATCAGCTTCAAAAGCTTCATTTACAGAGCTCTAGCTTCAAAAGCGTCATTTACAGAGCCCTAACTTCAAAGCTTCACTTGCAAAGCTTCACCTACAAAGCTTCAGTGCAGGGTATACAAATACCGCCTCCGAACAACTGCCACTTCGGCCCATACATGGATTCAATTTGAAGTCTCCAGCCAACAGACTCTATTGACCGAAGACTTGAGGGACTACATTATGTACCATATATTGGGCCTCAACTGGGCCTCATGGAATATACTTGGGGGACTTAGCCCATTATCTATGTACTGAGGAGCGAGCCCTTATTTTATAAAAGGGACTCCCTCACTTTCATTAGAAAGAACTTATGAAAATACTTGGGGGACTTAGCCTATTATCTATGTACTGAGGAGTGAGCCTTTATTCTATAAAAGGGACTCTCTCACATTCGTTAGAGAGCACCGCCGCTAGCTGAGCAACCGCCTCGCCACGAGCATCACTCCTAACCCATTATTCATGTACTGAGGAGCAAGCCCTTATTTTATAAAAGGGACTCCCTCACCTTCGTTAGAGAGCATCGTCGCCAACTGAGCAACCGCCTCACCGCGAGCATCATTCCTAGCCCCATCATTTATGTATTGAAGAGCGAGCCCTTATTCTATAAAATGGACTCCCTCACCATCATTAGAGAGCATCAACTCTAGCTCATCATCCATGTATTGAGGAGTGAGCCCTTATTCTATAAAAGGGACTCCCTCACCTTCAAATACCACAGGCCGAACCAACCAAGGCAATATAAGCCACGAGCCGAGCAGCCTCGCAGCGTGTACTACTTTTAGTTGAGCATCATTTCAGATTGAGCACCGCCTCATATCGAGCATCAGTTCAAGACAACATCTAGTTACTTCGGCCCACACATGGACTGAATTTCAAGTCTCCAACCAAAAAACTCTCTTGACTGAAGACTTGGGGGACTACTGTTTATACCATATTTAGGGCCTCGTATTTAGACCTCGTATAAATACTCGAGAAACTTAAATGTAATTATGTAATAAAGGAATGGTCAAATATGTAATAAGTGAGGAGTCCTTATTCTATAAAAGGACCCATCATCCTCATAATTAGAGGAGGTCATTTCTTAGGCCATGGGAAGAGTTATTTCACCCTCAGAAGCTCTCTCCTTCACTCTCCTAACTTCTCAGAGAAATACAATATCAGTGTGGACGTAGCCCAAACCTTGGGGTGAACCACAATACATCTTGTGTTATTTACATTTCATGCAGATTCACAGTCGGATTTACGTTGTTCCAAGACCTTCGGTTTTGTGCATCAACAAAACTAAATGCCGCGAGAAGATCAGAGACCTGGAGATTAATTTGGTTCTTTCTTCTTGGTGGTTTGCTCAAATCACTTTCTGAATTCTTTGGTGGTGTTTGTTTGTTCAAGATTGCAAATCTTGAGATCTCTTGAAGTTCTGATTTGTGTGCTCTCAAACTGTTT